TCATGAAAGTCTGGGCCAGCTCCTCCGGAAAGCGGTACTCTGCGTACCAGATGGACCAACCGCCTTTGTCGAAGTGCTCCCAGAAGTGGGGAAGGGCCACTTTCAGGGTATCTTCGTTGGAATACTTCCGCTTAAATTCGTCCATGCTGAAGGGGCTGGGGGGGAATGAACAAGAGGGCTGCAGCATAAGAAAAGCAGGAGGGAGGAGAAGAAAGGCACGCCTGGATGTTCTCGCCCCCTTTTCCTATCCCCAGCTTTCAAAGGGAGAGCTTCAGGACAGGCAGAAAGGTGAAAAGCCAGCTATCCTGGTCCCGGGGGGAGCAGACCGACAAGCGTGGCTCCCTATCTTGGGCAGCCAAGGGCTGATCTGGAGCATGATCTAGATTGGTAAAACCCTGCGCTTGATGCTAAACCATCGTCGCTGGAGAAAACAGAATAGCAGAGTCGGAAGGGACCTTGGAGGTCTTCTAGTCCAGGGGTCCCCAGCGCCCGGGCCGTGGCCACTGGGAACCGGGCTGTGCAAGTGGCAGGTGAGCGTGCGCAGCTGCATTTGCCTGCGCGGTGGGCACTCGCGCATGAAGCTCCATTTGCGCGACCTGGGGGGGGCTTCCCATGCCCGCCGCTTGCACCAACGAAGCTGCGTGGCCCTGCCTGCCATTTGCACAGCCCAGTTCGGAATGGGCCGTGGCCCAGGGAGTCCTAGTCTACACTATGGACTCAAAACAGAAACTATTTCTTCTCTTCTCCTGCTTCCCACAGCTGGAAAACCTGTGGACCACTGTTTTAGTCCAACCCAATGCACAAATAGGAGACCCTACACCATTGTGGGCAAATCCAACCCAATGCACAAATAGGAGACCCTACACCATTGTGGGCAAATCCAACCCAATGCACAAATAGGAGACCCTACACCATTGTGGGCAAATAGCTGTCCAATTTCTTCTTAAAAACCTCCAGTGATGAAGCACCCACAACATGTAGGAATATAGTCCTCAATTTATGACCAGCTGACCTTAGGGGTAGTTACAACCTGGATTTGAAGTTATTTATTTATATTTATATACATAAATATCCCATCTTTATTATTTTTACAAATAGCTCAAGGAAGTGACCATACACAAGAGAAGAGTGAGTGGCCCCAGTTGTCTTTCATGGCTAAGGCAGGCCTTGAACTCAAGATCTCCAACTTTCTACCCTGTGCTTTAACCACTAGACCAAACTAGCTCCCCGGTGGTTACATGTCCATGACCGCACTTTACAGCTGTTTGCAGTGTCCCACACCCGCCTGCCTACATTAACTTGGTTTAATGAGACTGCTGTTAAAAACAAGGTTGTAAAATCAGGTGGGTCATATGGGCGATCTGATTTACAACCATGTTGGGCCAGCTCCATTACGGTCATAACCGGAGGACTGTCTGTAAAAGCAAGAATCCAACAGAAGAGATTGTAGCTCGGGGTTCTGGCTGTTTGCTGGCAGATGTTTCATTACCCAGCCAGGGGACGTCATCAGTGTTGAGGGGGGGGCGGCGTTGCTGCCACTTGATATATAGGAGATGGAAGCTTAGATCACGCCAAGGACTCCACCACATCACGAACAGCTGCAGCTTGGGACTTTGCTCAGAATTGGGCCCCTCTGCCCAGAAAGAGGAGGGGGAGAACTTCAGGAAGAAATGGAGAGGGAGGGGCAGTGAGGAGCATCTTCCCTCACTTTCTGACAAGGGGGTATCTCCCCATTTCACACCCCCTTTGTGGCAGGAGAGGACTCCAACTGAGTCCAAGTGCCTCAAAAATATGGTACAACCTCGATGTGTTCATTTAGGGACCATTCAAAGTTACAACGGCCCTGGAAAAAGTGATTTATGACCGTTTTTCACACTTACAACCTTTGCAGTATCCCCAGGGTCACGTGATCAAAATTCAGACGCTTGAAAACGGACTCCTATTTACGACGGTCGCAGCATCCCGGGGGTCACGTGATCCCCTTTTGCGACCTTCTGACAAGCAAAGTCAATGGGGGAAGCCAGATTCACTTAAAAACTGTGTTACTAAGTGAACAACTGCAGTGGTTCACTTAACAACTGAGGCAAGGAAGGTCGTAAAATGGGGCAAAGCTCACCTAACAAATGTCTCACTTAGCAACAGAAATTTTGGGCTCAACTGTGGTCGTTAAATCGAGGACCACCTGTAGTCTCGACATGATCACCATTGAGCCCAAAATTTCTCTGGCTAAGTGAGACAGTTGTTAAGTGGGTCGTGGCCCATTTTACGGTGTTCTGGCCATAGTTGTTAAGTGAATCACTGCAGTTGTTAAGTTAGTAACCCGGTTCTGAAGTGAATCTGGCTTCCCCACTGACCTTGCTTGTCAGAAGATCCCAAAAGGGAATCACATGACCCCCGGGACGATGCAACCATCATAAATGAGTCGTTTGCCAAGTGTCTGAATTTTGATCACGTGACCGTGGGGGATGCAGCAATGCATCTTATGACTTATGACCGTGGAAAACGGTCATAAGTCACTTTTTTCAGTGCCGTTGCAACTTCAAACAGTCACTAAACGAACAGTCAACTACTACTGGTACTGAGAAATGAGACTAGATTTGGGCAACATTTCAGAGCTATTCTTGAAAAGGCTGCTTTCTTTTCTGCAAGCAATAAAATCAGGCCCTTTAGCACGGATTTCGTAACATTTTAAAAGAATCGGCCATTTCCTTTTCCAGTCATTTGACATAGTTTGTGAATAAACGAGCGACTGTACGCTTTAATCTCAATTTAGCACATGAGGTCTTGCGGGGGTTATTTCGGGATGACAATTTAAGACAATGATTTGATAATAATATTGATTTTGCTCAGTGTTCGAGAAACATTGTGGGGATCTGCTCCGATTGCCTTTTAAAAACACATTTCTGTATACAGGTAATCCTCGACGTACCACAATTGAGCCCAAAGTTTTATGTTGCTAAGTGAGAAATTTGTTAAGTGAGTTTTGCCCCATTTTACAACTCTTTTTGCCACATTTGTTAAGTGAATCACTGCAGTGAAGTTAGTAACAGGGTGGTTAAGTGAATCTGGCTTCACCGTTGACTTTGACTGTCAGATGGTCGCAAAAGGGGATCACGGGACCCTGGGATGCCGCAACGGCCGTGAGTGTGAAAAATGGTGATAAGTCCCTTTTCTGGGTGCCATTAGTAACTTCGGTCCCTAAGCAAACTGCTCTTGTTGAGGTCTCCCTGTAGAGCAAAACATCTCTCCAGGATTGGCACGGGAGGCTCAAACACTTCCAAAGTAGGAATATGTTGCACCACTTGAGAAGGTTTTGCAACTGGGCTAATAAAATACCAGCCAGAGCTTCTGGGGTTTGCCTGTAAACCAGGCTCCCTTAGACTACAACACCCATCATTTCCAAGCCACTGGAGAGGAACAGGCTAGCAAAACCACTCTCTGACCAGCCCTTTGCGGGAATCGGGAGCCCAGCCGAGACTGGAAACAGGGCCAGCTCACTTTTGACTCATTCCAGGATGAAACAGCGAACGGAAAACGGGTTTATCCAGACGGGAGAAATTTGGGAGGGTGAAACTAAATGAGCAGAGAAGAAGCCCTTTTTCACCCTCAAGACTCTTTTCTCCACCATATAATCAAGATGGACTAATATATACGTGTGGTGCATGTGTGTGTGTTTGTTTATATAGATGAATAAAAGTCTTGCCGTCATTTTGTATAAATGGACACTTTGGGATGCTAGATGACAGATGGATAACCTTTATTGTAGTTTTTCTCTGCACACAATGGCACACATTAAAATGAAATTCCGATGTGTGTGTGTGTGGGTGTTCTATTATATATGCTGTTGTATTATTGTTGCTATATTATTATTGTTATAGCTGGGATGGTAAACATGGTCTCTTTCAAGACAGGGCATCAGAATTTCATTTTAATGTGTGCCACTGTGTACAGAGAAAAAAAAGATAATAAAGGTTATCCATCCATCCCTTTATCTATGTCTATCATCTATCAATATATCCCTACCTACCTAATCTCTCCCCATCCATCCATCTAATCTCTCTCTCTAATCTATCTAATCTCTCTCTCATCTATCATCTCTATCCATCCATCCTCTCTCTCTCTTCTGCTTGGTAGAAGAGTGGCGTGGGGGGGAGAGGCCAGAGGGAGGTTGCTTGTCCGAAAACAACTCAGCTCTTGTGTTGAGCTGATCCTGGATCACAGGACAGCTTGCTTGGAGCAACAGCTGAACCGCAAAGCAGCCAGGATAAATGAAATGCTGCACCTCGGGGTCATCATCGTGTTTTGCAGAGAAGGGCCTCCTCCCCCCTCCGCCCCCTTCAAGAATCTGCTCCCCGGCCCCTCCTCCTCGGGAAAGGACCTCTCCAGTTGCAAACAGCAGCTGACACCCCCAAATGGAGTTCACCCATTTCGAGGGCAGGGACAAACTTTGTTGGGGCAGGAGAGGGCCTCTCCCACCCAGTCCCCTCCCAGAGGGAAGCAGCCCAACTGGGCCGGCTGCCACCTCTGAGCCCGACAAACAAGATCCCCCCCCCTTGTGCCTCCCTGGCTCAGCCGGCCAGCGTGGGCCGCCAACGGGGTGCTCTACCGCCACCTCGTGGCTAATCGCGGGGAGCCCAGTTTCTCCTTGGCACAAGTGAAAATGGAACCAAGGAACAGCGGTGGGGGTCTTGGTGGCTTCTGGGGGGTCTTCCCTTACCAGGCTGGGCAGCTGAGGTTCGGGCAGGATTAGGGAAGACCGGCCTGGATCTTTGCGGTGGGTAAGGCTCGCCATCTAATAAACGGGCACTGTTAATTCCAGCCCTTTGGAGGGAGTTGCGAGAAACAAAATGGGTGCCGTGTGCTGCAGGCTAAGGGCATCTGTCCTTGCTTAAACCTGGATGAATTTCGGACCTCTGAGCAGCTTGTAAGAACAGAGAGGGGCAAACTGTGGACCCTTTAGGACCCGGGGACTTCAACTCCCAGAATTCCAGAGCCAGCATAGCAGAGTCCCCAGATGCTAAAGCCCAGCGTCAAGGGGTAAGGACGACACTTTCCAAATGCCGTAAGTAAACTCCGAAGGTGGTTAAGTTAGACCCCCTCTGAAAAAACCCCCCACTAACCGTGAACACCTAACCGTGAGGGAGTCGGCCACACTTCCAAGACGACGCTCTAAGGACGATGTGTATCGGGAGTCGAATGCTGGCAAACCAATGACTGGTAAAGAAGGAGCGGCAGTGCTGAAATTAAGGACTTACGACCGGTCCTCGCACTTACGACCACCGCAGCATCCCCGCAGTCACGTTTGTGATTTGGGGGCTTGGAAACTGTTGCACGTTTACGACGGTCGCAACGTCCCGTGGTCACCGTTTGTGACCTTCCCAGCTGGCTTCAGGAAGCTGCCAGGGAAGGTAGCAAGTCGTGGTTAGGTTAGGTCTCGCTTAATGACTGTGGTGATTCGCTTAATGCGTTCCATTAAACCACCCCAAAGCGGACCACAATCTTCTCTTTCCCTCAGTACATCTCAAACTACTGTTGAGGCAGAATCAAAAGTCCGTTCCTTAGAATCGTGTCCCCGTTTCCAACTTCCTATAGATGTCCTTTGCAGTGCAGGCAGTCCTCAACTTATGACCGGTTATTTAGCAATTGTTCGAAGTTACATCAGAAGAATACAGGTAGTCCTCGACTTATGACTACAACTGAGCCCCAAATCTGTGCAGCTAAGCGAAGACATTTGTTAAGTGGGTTTTGTCCCATTGCACAACTTGTCTCGCCACATTTTATTAAGTGAATCGCTGCAGTCGTTAAGTTAGCCACACAGTCGTTACGTGAATCTGGCTTCCCCACTGACTTTGCTGGTCAGGTCGCAAAAGGGGATCACGTGACCCCGGGACACAGCAACGGCCCTAAGTATGAGTCAGTGGTCAAGCATCTGAATTTTGCTCCTGTGACTGTAGGGATGCTGCAACGGTCGTAAGTGTGAAACATGGTCCTAAGTCACATTTTTCAATGCCGTTGTAACTTTGAACGGTCACAACCTGAATTTGAAGGTTTGAAGGCCACCCCTCCTGAGGTCACATGACCAAACTCCAGGAAGTTGACATCTGGGCCGCGAAGCCCATCCAGACTGCCAGGACGACGTTTTAACGAAAACCAGCACTTCTGATTTTCAGCAAAAACTGCGCCTACAGCGAACCACTGGTTTGCTTAATGACTGTGGCAGTTGCTTAACGACTGCCACAAAAAAGATTACAAAATTGGGCTTATCACGTGACTGACCTCTTTTAAGAGCACCACGAATTTTGATTGCAATGGGCAGGCTCCATTATATCGGTAAGTCCAGGGATACCTGTAACACCCCACACCTATTCTGGCTTTTCATTTCCTCCTTAATCTTTTCATTGTCTCTTCATTGTGGTTTTGAGTGTGGCTCATCTCTAGGTATTTAGTGTTTATTTATTTAGTTTTATCTCTTTATGTATCTACTAAATGCAGGAAGCACTGCATGTACCCAGCAGACAATAGCATGTAAGATGATTTGCCCTCAAGAGAACGGGGAGACACACAAAATATAATTTTCTTTTCATTGCACACTCAGCAAATCTAAAACAAGTTTCCAGGTTGAAAACTAAATTAGTTTTTTCAGAGGGAGCACCTCCCCTTTTTGATATAGTTTTTGACATACAGGTAGTCCTCAAAGTACAAAAGTGGGTTATGACCATTTTTCACTTACGACTGTTGCAATATCCCCGTGATCCCCAGATTGACTGAACAACTGTGCAACTAACGTAACAACTGCAGTGATTCACTTAAGGACTGGGGCCAGTAAAACGGGGCAAAACTCATTTAACAACTGACTTGCTTAGCAATGGAAATTTTGGGCTCAATTGTGGTGGCGAGTTGAGGGCTGTCTGTAAACATGGGATTGTGAAGGGAAAAAAAGGATTTTTTTTTTTATGTATGCCTAAAATTATGATGATGGAACTATTTTTTTTTTTAATGTAGCCAAATTCAGTCCTGGTTGCTTCCACATGTGACCAAAGAGCATTGTGGGACATGTTCCACATTAGCCTAAACACTCAAGACTGGGAGTCACCCCATTCTTTTTGGACTCTGCAGCGCCCCTCCTCCAAACAATTGGGGCTCCCCTTACCTTTTGGGGAGGTGAGCAAAGGGATCTTTGGATTTGGGCTCGGCTGCCAAGGCCTGTTCACACTCATCTAATTCCTCTTCCGGTTCCGCCTTCTTCTCTTCTTTCTTCTCCACTTTCTTCTCCTCCTTCGGCGTTTTCTCCTTCTTGGAGGATTCCTTCTTAGGCTGGTTCTCTGCAAACTTCTTGGCTGCAATGCCACAAGGAGACAAAGGAGAAAGGGACGGGATTCGGGGTTTCGATGCCGACGTGTCAATTTCTGGCCTCTTGAAGCACTAAAAAGCAGCGTTTCCCAACCTTGGCCCTTTTAAGACGGGTGCACCAAGTCCCACAATGCCCCCTTCCCAGCTGGAATTGAAGTCCACTCGTCTTGAAAGGGCCAAGGTTGGGAAACGATGCATTAAAACCTCTGAAAAAAGGTCAGGGAATCCATCAAGCCTGAACTCACAAAAATCCAGAAATGGGATCGACAGTAAATAACTACACCCTTAAAACTTGGGATTTTTATAGCACTTTATAGCACGTGTTATTTGGCATTCCAGTTACTCAGAAGCCCCCAAAATGGCAACCTGAGTTCATGCAAATGTAAAATAGAATAGAGCTGGAAGTGACCTCGGGAGGTCTTGTAGTCCAGCTTCCTGCCCAAGCAGCATAACTACTATATTGCAATCCATTTTTTAAATATTAATTTTAGAAGTCTCATGCAGCTTTCCCCCTCTGCTCAAGCATGAATGGCTTTAACAAGCATGCACCTTTCTTCTATCA